GTGTGTTGTGGAAATTGGGCGAAAAGAACTTGGAATACCCCGGTTGAAAAAACTTGTAAATGTCTCGTTTGTATTATTCAGTAAGAGCAACATTCTTTCGTCTATATAGGATTTAATTATAAAGGGAATATCGATGTTGTATTTTTGCTTGTCCTCGAACGATAAGTTATTTAAGTCATATTTCATATTTTTTGCTTCAATGTAATCTGCAATCAATGGAACCCTAGCCAAACTGTGAACACAGTTGTACGAAGTTGTCTTGTATGCTTGAATGCTCCATATTAATATCTGATATTGCATTGAGTTTAATCTTTGTATCGATTTTTTGTTTAAAAATTTGAACCATATTTCTGATCCATATGTTAAAGTTGATCTGAATAAAGATTAGTTAGTTACTTTTTTTTTTGTTTCGGTTGGCCAATATGTAAATTTTATTATCATTTTTTTTATTAAGTTTTTTTTTCTCTCTTTCAATTTTTGAGGTACTCTACCTATCAAGAGGCTTCAAGATTATTATTACCATTGATTTTTCAAAAACTGTGACGATTTGGTTAATAAATAAACCCGTCAATAGTGAAAGTTTTGATCTCTTTTCAACAAAAGGCCTCGACTGCGCAAACTCAACTCAGCACAATTTTCTTTTAGAATACGAATTATTAAAATATAATATATATATATAATTCAAAGAATTCAATCTTTAATAAGGAATATATATGTTATGTTCCAAGTTTTAATTGAAAAGAAGAAAGAGAAAACCACTAATGGAAGCAACACTACCTGTGATATAACAAGTTGCCATTAATATTGGAGTGGAAGTAGCAACAAGAGTGGAGACAAACTAATTTGATTTCTGCCGACGAAGAAAGTACAAAGTTTAGTTGGTTGGAAGTTGGAGTTGTTGAGGCTATTCTCAGTTGGTATAGAGAAAACTTATTTACACACTCATAGCTAGAGTTATGCAAATTATTTCACAATCTTAATACATAGAATTGATATTCGATCACTGTTAAAATCAATGTTCAGAGCATTAACGACCTTATTAGTTATATATGATAGTGTTGGATATTTTATTATTTCAATAACTCTGTATATTACCATCCCTGGACACTTTTTCCCGCTTATCATTACTCTTCACAATTCATCCTTTTTACTTCATTCCTAAGGTTAGAAATAGTCGTTATTTCTCCTTAAATTTTCATCCCCGGACACTTTATTTTTCCGCTTATAATTACTCTTCACAATCATCCTTTCATACTTCATCCATAAGGTTAGAAATAGTCGTTATTTCTCCTTAAAATGAATTACGATTTTTCGTTCAAAAGAAATTTTTGCGGTAAAATTGTCAAACGCGTTCTACAATCATAAGCTGCATTATATTGTCTTATAAATTAACTCTGTATATATTTTGTATAATATTTGACTAAAATCTAGTTACTTGTGTAATTACCTGTACATATGCCAGCATATCACAGGTCGTAAATTCAATCTAGAAAACCCTATCTGCCACTACTGTAATATACCGTCCAGGTCATAAATCCTCGAATACCTCATATCCAAAAATAAGAAGCATAAACAGGAGAATAGACATAAAAAAAACGAACAATTCAGTCATGATTAAAATCAAGATTAAATTTTTCTAATAAAGAAACTTATTGCGTAAGTGAAAAAAATAGTACAAATGTGATATTGTACTGGGATAAGGTGCATAAATTATGAAAAAGGCATATCTTTATCGTGCAACTGAAAGTTGTTGATAGCTTGCGCCATCTATCGGAATAAATATCAACTATTCTCGTTGATTTTTATGAGGTCCAACAGCCCGAAACGCGTCCGTGGTTAGCTTTTTTTGATTTATCAAGAATTAGTATTTGACCAATTCTGGAATAATTATAAATCAACGAGAATAGTTGATATTTATTCCGATAGATGGCGCAAGCCATCAGCAACTTTCAGTTTCACGATAAGGAGATGCCTTTTTTCATAATTTTTTTGCATAAGGTTTTTGGATATCTATATATATAAAATTGAATGTCTGTCTGTGTGTGTGTGTGTCCTCTATGGATTCAAAAATCATACATCCAATCGCCGTGAAAATTTGGGATATTATTAGGCATATCCCCGGAAAGGTTTACGAAAAATAATATCTTGAATATCTTTAATATCCTTAGAGTTATTTGCAGATTTGTAGCTTTAACTCGCAAGCCATTGAGACGGAGATAGGCTTAGGTTTGCTGCTCCTGATGACCTTGGGTCTGCCCCACCCCGTGAGAGAATGGATTCGCCCGGCCGCCAGTACCCACCGACCAATCAGGGCAGAGTTGGTGACACAGCTATGCCAAGTAGACAAGAAAAAAAGCCTCGCGGGAGCTTGCCCAAGATGACCTCCGGGAACTTCGTCCATCTTCCATAAACGACCATGAATTTATTCAACCTTATCGAGTATTTTTCAAGGGACCGGGAAAAAATGTTCACTAGATAAAACGATTATTTTGTAATGTAGAAAATTAGGAAAGACAAAATTCAGAATGACACGGCACACGGGGACCGGGAAAAAATGATCACTTTATCAGTTTCAAATTATCAAAATATATCTATTTCTTTTTATAAGTTTATAGAGAATTGTTTTAACAAATGTTCGTTAGACAGACCTTTACTCGGGTACCGATTAATATTGATTTTATTCAACTTATCGAGTATTTTTCAAGGGACCGGGAAAAAATGTTCACTTTATCGAGAGATTCGTTAAACAAACCTTTACTCGGGTAAAACACGGGCGAAGCCGGGTACATCCGCTAGTTCTTATATAAAAATATATTGTGGTTGGGAATAAAGTGTGTGTGTTAGGGGTGTAAGACCAGTTGTAAAGGGTGGTTATTTAGATCTTAGAAAGCCCGCTACAAAATAGGGAAGCCTCGATACCTCGAGTTTAAAGTTGAGTAGTGACTTACAGAAATCAGTTGAAAGAATTTTCTCGAAAATATAGAAATATTTAAACTTCACTTTTTTCTCTCTACCCCATCACAAAAATATCTTATTTTTATTCGGATAATTGGAATCTTTTTAAATTGAACTTCTATACTGTATATCGGATTAACTTAGGATGTCTTAGAAATTTATCTTTATAAAAAGGTTAAATGACAAACTATTTGCACACACGTAGAAGTAAACACACGATAGAGAGCCATATGTAAAATCTAAATGAAAAAAAGATTTAAAAAATGACCATCTATTTCCACATTTATACGTGGTACAGGCCATGATTATCATGATGGATTGAATTTGACGACTGCTTTTACTGTAAGTGCACTACATGTCTACACATGTGAAAATAAGTTCAACTTTTGCACATACAAATATGCCAGAGCTCCGTTTGGCTACTTAAACTCGCTGGTGGGGATGCACTTTTGCAAGAATTGGGGGCGATTGTAGCTTTCTTTTAATTAGAAAAAAAAGCCCAATGAGCGCGGGATTCGATCCCGGGTCGTAGCGGCCGAAAACCTAAGGTTTATATCACTCTTTCATCGACCCCTTTCTTTTTCTCCATAGTTTTATTGATGCAAAGCAATAACATGCCATCTATAAATAACAAATGAAAATAATAAGATGCGAATGTTTCTTTCACAAATAAATCAAACTTCTACTGTCCTTACTGCGATGAAAAAATATTGTAAGTGATTGGCTTATCAGTAATGAACCCTTCCGGCGGTTCCGCTAATTTAATCTACCAGACATTTCAATATTTAAATGTAATTCTAGTGTCCTAAAATCCTTTGTCCATCTTCTTCTTCTTTCTTATCTCCACTCAATCATTTGGGTATCAAGTTGTGACTCTTGATGGTATTTGACAACCATCATGACTGGGTGAAGTAGAATGCGTCTGCCTTTGTCATTAAGACTGGGAGCACTACTCAGTGGCAGGCCGACTTAGCTCCAAAAGAAATGGCCGCCTATGACATGAGGAACAGACGCCATGTGCAGCCGCTCCTAACATCGAGTACAAACGCTGCTCATCCTGTATTCCTAGATTAGGAGCCCTTACAGGGTACTATCAGCCGGGCCAGCTGAACCCAGGTTTTTAAGCGAGCTTGTTACTGCTCCCCCTTCTCCTTTTTTATCCGGGCTTGGGACCTCCTTTGTCCATAGTTTTCTTGAATAACATTTCTAAGATTCCAGCCCTTAGTGTAGCATATATAAGCAGAATGATACAATACACTAAAAAGCGGTCTGGTAGATTAAATTGGTTCACCACTGATGATCCAAGCCCTTCCAATATTTTTCGATTGCAATATGGACAGTAGAAGTTTGATTTATTTTTTTAAAGAAACATTCGCGTCTTAATGTTTTAATTTGCTATAGTTTCTTCAAACTCCATCACTAAGAATAAACTTTCAAGTGCAAACTATATAAATAGAATTAGCAATCCAATAGTTATAGCGATGATCTGGAAGAATAAATTAACCAAATCTCAGGAAACCACTGATGATCCAAGCCCTTCCAATATTTTTCGATTGCAATATGGACAGTAGAAGTTTGATTTATTTTTTTAAAGAAACATTCGCGTCTTAATGTTTTAATTTGCTATAGTTTCTTCAAACTCCATCACTAAGAATAAACTTTCAAGTGCAAACTATATAAATATAATTTGCAATCCAATAGTTATAGCGATGATCTGGAAGAATAAATTAACCAAATCGCAGGAAACCACACTGATGAACTAAGTCTCCCCATATAGCTTCATCATCATTGCAAAAATTTATAAATCAGTCTTCTATAGAGTAATAAAAATAGCTTTGAGACTAATTCCATTCGTAATAAACTTAATTCAAAAGTATTATTTAATGTGTTCAATATTATATTTTTAATATATTAGCTCGTTAGTTTAATATTTGTTTTTATCTAATTATTTTGTCCAGAGTTCATGATGATAATTGTTTGTGTATATATGGTGTTTGTGTTTATAGAATAGGTGTTCGTTTTAGTTGTTGCTCATTGTCGATTTCTCCCACCTGGTGTAGTGGATAGGATATCTAGCTCTCACCCAGAAGCCACGGGTTCGATTTTCGGTGTGGGAACTTTTTATTGGGTTCAAAAATTATACACCTTAGTTAGTAGCCCGTTAAACTATATTCGCCTTCTTAGTTATGGCTTTGCGCTAACTACGAGGTTGTTGCTTCAAATGGAAAAAGAAAAATATATTGGGAAGACATATATAGTATTTCTTTAAACATCATCACAAAAAAAAAGAGAGAAAAGTGACAGATTTAGAAAGTATAATGAGATATTCATAACCCAGGTTTTCTTTCCCTCGCTCATGGGGTGCAGAACATCAACCTCCTGGGTTTTAAGCAGAATGAAAAATATAATAGTATAAACATATATGTGAAGATTCACCAATGATGATTACAGTAGTTCTCCCTTTACATTATCAAAAATAAAAAAAGACATCTAAAATGCTCATGTGATCGATTAGGATATGCCTCATTTTTTGTTTCAAATATCAACACCTGACCTTTTTTTCTATTTTGATATTTTTGATACATATACATGTATATGTTCGTATATGTATATGTTTGATGTATATGTTCGTGTTTCTAGTAGCTATAAGAGAGAGAACTGTTAAAAATACAAATATTGGTTTAAAGCTCTGTATTGGCCTTCATTCTTCCTTTTTTAACAAAGCAATTTCTACTGTACTTAATACAAAGTTAAAATATTGAAAGGGTCTTTCTGAAGAAGTTGTGAACTTTCGCAACCGTCTGGTCAGTAATGTGAGTTATGCCCTCCCAATATTTAAACATTACAGTAAGAATGGTATTAATTGTTTAGTAAAAAAATCACATACAAGGTGTGTTCAAAAGGTATCGCGACTCCCCATGAGATATTATACACTTGTGCCAACGGTTTTTCCAATCTTCGAAGCACTTTAAAAAATCATTTTTTAAAAATATTTTTCAGCTCCTCCTTCGATGTCGTCTTTATCTCGTCAAGCATAGCGTAACGTCGTCCTTTCATGGGCCTCTTCAGTTTAGGGAACAAGAAAAAGTCACAGGGGGCCAGATCTGGGGAATACGGTGGCTGCGGCATCATTAGTGTGTTGTTTTTGGCCAAAAAGTCGCGCACAAGCAACGATGTGTGAGCAGGGGCGTTATCGTGGTGCAAAAGCCAATTTTTGTTCTTCCACAAATCCGGGCGTTTCTGGCGGATTGCTTCGCGCAAATTGCGCATAACTTGCAGGTGATATTCCTTATTGACCGTTCTACCCTGTGGCAAGAACCCATGATGCACCACGCCTCTGCAATCGAAGAAAACTGTCAGTAAAACTTTCACATTCGACCGAACTTGGCGCGCTTTTTTCGGTCTTGGTTCGTGCGGCAGCTTCCATTGAGATGATTGAGCTTTGGTTTCCACGTCATAAACATAAACCCAAGCTTCGTCAACAGTTATGATCCTCTGGAGCAAATTTGGGTCGTCGCGGACAGAGTCCAACATCTCATTAGCAATGTTCATGCGATGCTGTTTTTGGTCGCAATTGAGCAATACCGGTACGAATTTCGCGGCGACCCGTCTCATGCCCAAATCATTGATAAAAATCGAATGGCACGAGCCAATCGATATGTTTAGGTCCTCAGCAACTTCTCTAACGGTGATTCGACGATTGGCCAATATCATTTTCTCCACTTCATTAATTTTTTCGTCTGTTGTTGAAGTGCTCGGGCGTCCGGCACGCTCTTCGTCGTTCACATCTTCTCGGCCTTCTGAGAACATTTTGTACCACCGATAAACGTTGCTTCGGTCTAAGGTAGCTTCTCTGTATGCCACAGTCAACATTCGGAATGAATCAGCGCACTTAATTTCGTTTTTCACACAAAATTTGATACAGGTTCTTTGATCCATTTTTTTTAATAGGTAAAAATCGAAGACGATCCAAAACACCTGCAAGCAAAGCAGCTGTCAACAATTAAGTGAACATTCAAAATGGCCGAGCTTGTCGGCATAAGTGAGAGACATGAGTACCAACATATAGCCACAAAAAGATCGAAATCCGAATATACGTAACCCGCGAAAATTCAAAAGTCGCGATACCTTTTGAACACACCTCGTACACAACGGCGTCCTAAATAGTTCCAATTTTTAAATATAGATGGCGCTCTAATCTATCTTATTGTAAGTGATTTTCTCTCTTCCATCATAACTACTATAATATAATCCTAACCATTATATAATGATGCATTAGCGCGCTATCTGTCATCAAAATTCGAAACTATTATAGACGGGTATGATTCTTATGTCTCTAATATATAATATAACTTTGCTGTCCTCAAAGGCTATGTCCATAGTTCATCTAAATACCCATTCAGGGAGTCCAGCATCAGTATCACTATAAAAAGAAAATCGAAAAATGCAATATAACAGTGGTATGGTGGATTGGGCTGGCGAAACCGCTGTTTAGGGATCACCACTGATCAGCCAGGCCCTCCCATTACCATTTCGGTAAGGGCAGTAGAAATTGTTTATTTTTAATGAAGAACCATACGCGTCTATAATAGATTCAAATTTTTATAATCCTAACTACTTTGTCATCTTTTTGTTGACAAATACAAGCGTCATTCTCGTCGAGATATCTTAGTTGAAAACATCCTTATAGATCAAAGATAAGCCAACTATAAAGATTGTGATATTTCCAAAATACGATATGGTGAATTCTAGTACACCTCGCCCATCATCAACATTGGATGGAGAAAGCTCAAGAAGACAAACAACAACATCATCATCAAGATGGCGAATGACCTTCACCCATAAACACCAGATGTGCTGGGACCACGTGACTACAGTACGGAACTATGGGATTGGGACACAACGGGATTTTCTGGACCGGATTCCTTTGTGCTGAGAGCATGCTAATGTCTGAGCTGACCTATAAACTCTTCAGACACCTCCTCCACCCAGTCAGTCAGTCTTGGGATTAGCCTGCCAAATCCTGCTACTACACTTCCATGGAGCGTTGGGCTAATTCGAAAACCTTTATCTTTTTTTCTGTTCTTGGACGTCTCAAATACGATTAGCTGGTTCCCCATATATCGATACAGTACATTAATAGCCGAATTAGCATCGAATAGATTGTTTTTATCACCAGAAAGTTTATATACTGAATTTTCATATTTTAGCATTATATGTATATGATTGATATGATTATATGTATAAGATAGTGGACATTGTTGCTGCTGTGATAGAGATGTATGGAGACATGTGAGGCTCTTCATTGGACACAACAACAATAACATGTAAATGATATTCTTCTTTCTTATCTCCACACTGGGTGAAGTAGAATGCGTCTGCCTTTGTCATTAAGACTGGGAGCACTACTCAGTGGCAGGCCGACTTAGCTCCAAAATAAATGGCCGCCTCTGACATGAGGAACAGACGCCATATGCAGCGCTCCTAACATGGAGTACAAACGCTGCTCATCCTGTATCCCTGGATCAGGAGCCCTAACAGGGTACTATCAGCCGAGCCCAGGTTTTTTAGTGAGCTTGTTACTGCTCCCCCTCCTCCTTTTTCATCCGGGCTTGGGATCGGCAAAGGCGCAGTTGTAAATGTAAATGATGTGTAAATGTTTATGTTATACATTCATGGACAAAACTTAAGAAATTTGTACCTTTTAGTATGTATATCGGGATTCAGATAATAACTCTGAAAGATATTACAGTAACCTTCATTGAAGAAACATGAGATAACCAATTGCGAACAATATTTCCTCTGTCTCCTTAAAAAAAAAAAATAGAAGACCGGTGAGATCAAAATATGGAACTTTCTTTTGTCCCTGAATATATATATTTGCATGCTGTGATACATTTATACTTTGAGTAGGTAAATAGAAGGATACCTAGATCCTGCAAACATCGGTTTACTCATTTTTCTATATCTGTAGAGAGAATTTATCTACATAAAAATAAAGTTCTCTGTTTAATGTAATCACTATTATTTGTCATCATTGATATAATCATTAATATATTGCTACGTAGAAAATTAGGGAAGACAAAAACTTCAGGATGAGACAACAATTTATTTCAGGCAAGGACAAACTATGAATGGTAAACAAAATACAGAGTAGTAAAATATAAACATAAAAATGACCACTCTGTTAATAAAAAAATAATAAATTTAATAAATACTTTGTTACATAGCTTCTTCCCTATGGGAGCTGTGACTCACAGCTAGCAATTATTGTAGATACTGACATAAATCTGACGTGCTTCTGCCAAGGATTTCCATCGAAGTCTTGGAACTTTGTCCCTAGTACCTTTGCGTCATTTTTCTTGCGGAGTGAAGAGCGGCTTTATCGTCGTATCGTCTATAGAGACATCGTCATCTTCGAGGGAAGTCATGGGTTTAGCACGGCGGTGGAATCCTGGAGTCAGAGTCAGTCTCTGCAAATTTAGATCACAGCACCCATGGCTTCAAGGTATTCTCGGCGGTCTTCCCTAACTTACCCAGCATCTCCACCAAAATGCCACGTGGAAAATTAGGGAAGACAATCACTTCAGGAGGAGACAACAATTTATTTCAGGCAACGACAAACTATGAATTGTAAACAAAATATAAGCCACGAAGATAAATATACAGAGTAGTAAAATATAAACATAAAAAGGACCACTCTGTTAATAAAAAAATGTTAAAATTAATAAATATTTTGTTACAATATCATTATAACGATCTTGATTATTATCCTAGTTTGATAACTTTGTGTCGATGTAAAAATAGCATTCATTTTTCTTCATAGGCTTCCTGTTTATTATAATTTATTTATCCATTTACATAATAGAGATATGCGAATATAAGAAGCTTCCCCACGAAAACAAAAGAAATTATAAAAGGTATAATGGCCATTTTATAAACCTTTTAGACCTAAAGAAAGCAGAAATATATACAACTCATTTGCTAAGAACAATTAATGTGTGTTACGCGCAGTGTTATCTAATAATTTGTTACATAACGAATAATACACCGCAATTCATTTTATTCCGAATATAGAAAGCTTTCGGATACTCTCTTTTTCAAATTATTTAAAACT